TTTTATCTTGCCAGGTAACCAGAATTCCTTCTGGTATCAGGCTTTCTTTCCTATCTTAGACATATTTGGCATACTTTTCATCTCTACCACTTATCGGAGGGGGGAAAACAAAGAATTATATCTACCCAGAGAAACTACTTCCCAAACCCCCAGGTACACCTCCTTCAGTTCTCTGGTATAGTATGTCAGCATTCCAGAAAGTCCCCAACTCCAAATAAAAATTCTGAGACAGGCATTTCTCAAAGTTCCATTTATCAGAGAAGATAAACTAGCACATCTGGGAAAACCTGAATCTGAGGGTTCCGGTTTTCCCTCAGTAAGTCAAAACCCTAAATCCAGCCCCTTCACCCATCAGTCTGCCACATATGTCGAGGGTCAAGTATCCCTCGACACAACGCCATCAAGCCAGCAAGAGACACCTCTGCAGGGGCTGGCAATGAATCAATGAAACAAAGAGACCACATTAGGAACGGTGGAGGGGGTGTATTGCGAATAGGCTTTCTGTCCACTGTGATAACAGGTGGCGGACGGAACACGGACAAAGGGCGGGAGTTAGGTGATGGGCAACCTGAACGGCAACTGGGAATGACATCATAAGCCCACGACCCGGCCATGAGCGAGCAGATTGGTGGCTGCAGATGACCTCATAAGCCCACACCCGGAGGGAATCGGGACAAGCGGCAGATTCAAAGCCCAGCAGCTGATAGGATTTAATGCTGACTGAACAACCGCCATCACACACGCCCTATATAAACAGGTGGGCGGAACACTCAGTGTCTCCGACTTTATTCTGAAAACAGACCTCAGCGCCTACTGTAAAACGCCGCGAAGCTACTATTAAACTGGGTTTGATCCTACTGTTGTGTGAGTGCCCGGTGGAGCCGTGGTGTTACCAGAGGGGCTGAGAACATGGTCCAATCATCATCCGTCCCAACTTGAGCCATCCCTGCAACCACTCCTCCTCTAGATGCAGAAACATCAAGACCTTGAATGAAGGGAAGAATGCTATTATTTCTAACTACATTCACTCTCCTAAATCCACCCTCCTACTTTCCCAGGCACATGGAGTTGACAGCGTGGAAGCTTCTGGTGCTAATATGGCTTCCAAAGCTGACATAGTATCTATAAAATTATACTCACGATCTAAAATTTCCAATCACCACCATTTAACAAAAATATATCTTTGTGATCTACAGAATTAATAGTCCTAAGAAGTCCATTGAATACTCATAATTCCCTTAAGGGTAGGTGCTTCCTCTATCCTCTTCCTCTGACAGTTTAAATTTATAATCCACGTAATTTTATCCACACTCCTGTTGTTATAATCCTCAGTCTCCGGGGTTAACTTTGACCATTGAAGTTGTCCAGACAGGCAAAATCAGGTGGGAATAATGTAGCCCTGTTTCCCCAGTCCGTTTTGCAGTGACATCACTACCGGAAGTCTGCTTTGTTATGCCCTTCAGGTTGCAGCCATGATGATGATGATGATATAGAAAGGGCTGCACTTGAAGCTACTATTAATGTATAATAAACACTCTTAATTTTAGTGGGAGAACTTGGTACGAAAGTCCTGTTGTAAAAAATGCAGTTTAAAATGCCTTAGGTTGGCCACTTTTATTCCTGTGGCCTATTTGCCCACAGTAGATGGCACCAAGGAGATTCAAAAATATTCAATCCTCTGCTGCCATCTAGTGACTGTCAAGATTTTTCTTCCACCCAGACATGTTAGGCAAAAATAAAATAAAAACCAAGCAAAGCAATCCAGTAGCTATTACACAAATTATTTCAGAGGGAAAATTCTGCTCAGATATCAGGAGCAAAGTGAGGTAACATGTTTTATTGGATGTTTCAAAAATAAGAGCAGGACTGGATAAGAGTTGGCTGACAGGAATACCTTTTCTATTTCTAAATACCCAAGACTCCCTTTTTCCCAAAGAGCCCCAAATTATGCCATAGAAATTGGTATAGGAGAAGGACAAGCAGAGACTGGAGGAAGAGTTAAGAGAGTAATCAGCCTGGAATCATTACATTCCAGTGGTGGGTTCCTCCCGGTTCGGCCCAGTTCTCCCGAGCCGGTAGCGGGGACGATATGACATCACTGAACTGGTTCTGCCCCCCACCCCCGACGCCCCCCGCCCCCCGCATTATTCTTACTTTTTATTTGGCCCCACCCCCAATCTAGTGCTGCCTCCTGAGTCCCAGCTGATCGGCTAGAGGGAAAAAACCTGTTTAAACTCTTGCCGTGGGGCTTCAAAGGGCCGCCCTACAGCTGATCAGTGTTAAAAGAAAACAAATGAGTAGACCGGTGCCTGCAAAAAATAAATGGGTAGATCGGTACAGCTCTGCAAGCAGTTAAAAGCCTGGTAGATCAGTACCTCTGCTAAATCCTAAAGAATTGTCACATGAGCCTTGGTACTACAGTGGTTTAAAGCACCCTGTTATTAACGTATCTGGATCCGTTCCAGTCGGGCTTCAGGCCCGGGTACAGCACGGAAACGGCATTGGTCGCGTTGGTTGATGATCTCTGGAGGGCTCGGGACAGGGGGTGCTCCTCTGTCCTGGTCCTGTTAGATCTCTCAGCGGCTTTTGATACCATCGACCATGGTATCATGCTGCACCGGTTGGAAGAGTTGGGGGTGGGAGGCACTGTGTTGCGGTGGTTCTCCTCCTTTCTCTCTGACCAGTCGCAGTCTGTGTTGACAGGGGGACAGAGGTCGACCCCGAGGCCCCTCATATGTGGGGTGCTGCAAGGGTCGGTCCTCTCGCCTCTCCTGTTCAACATTTATGTGAAGCCGCTGGGCGAGATCATCCGTGGTTTCGGGGTGGAGTACCATCAGTACGCTGACGACACCCAGCTGTACATCTCCACCCCGGATCACCCCAACGATGCCCTTGAAGTGATGTCCCGGTGCCTGGAGGCCGTACGGATCTGGATGGGGAGGAACAGGCTCAGGCTCAACCCATCCAAGACCGAGTGGCTGTGGTTTCCGACGTCCCGATATAGGCAGTTGACGCCATCACTGACTATTGGGGGCGAATCATTGGCCCCCACGGAGAGGGCTCGCAACTTGGGCGTCCTCCTGGATTCACGGCTGTCTTTAGAAGAGCACTTGACGGCCGTGACCGGGAGGATTTTTCATCAGGTTCGCCTGATTCGCCAGTTGCGTCCCTTTCTGGATCGGGACTCGTTACGCACGGTCACTCATGCCCTCGTCACCTCCCGCCTGGACTATTGTAATGCTCTCTACATGGGGCTCCCCTTGAGGAGCACCCGGAGGCTCCAACTGGTGCAGAGTGCGGCCGCGCGGGTGGTAATGGGAGCGACGTGGCGCTCCCATGTGACACCTCTCCTGCGCGAGCTGCACTGGCTCCCGGTGGTCTTCCGGGTGCGCTTCAAGGTTTTGGTTACCACCTTTAAAGCGCTCCATGGCTTAGGACCTGGTTATCTACGGGACCGCCTACTACCACCAATAGCCTCCCACCGGCCAGTACGCTCTCATAGAGAGGGACTCCTCCGGGTGCCGTCAGCCAAACAATGTCGGCTGGCGACCCCTAGGGGGAGAGCCTTCTCTGTGGGGGCACCTACCGTCTGGAATGAGCTCCCCCTGGAGATACGGAGGATCCCTGATCTGCGCACCTTCCGCCGCGCTGTGAAGACCTTTTTATTCCAGCAGGCGGGCTTGGCCTAATCTCTTCCCTTTTAAATATGTAAATTTTAATCTGTTTTTAAATTATTGGGGTGTTTTAATCTGTCTGGGCCAAAATAATTTAATTTGATTTTATCTGGTTTTTAAATTTTTTATGTCTATGTTATTTTATTGTTTGGCTGTTCACCGCCCTGAGTCCTTCGGGAGTAGGGCGGTATACAAATCGAATAAATAAATAAATAAATAAATAAATTAACACAGCTGCCTGCAATTTACTGCTGGTTCGAATCTCTCCAAGGCTCAAGGTTGACTCAGCCTTCCATCCTTTCTAAGGTAGGTGAAATGAGGACCCAGTTTGTGGGGGCAATAAGCTGACTTTGTATAAATATACAAAAGTATGAAGGCTATTGCTGAACGCACTGTAAGCCGCCCTGAGTCTCCGGAGAAGGGCGGCATATAAATCAAATTTTTAAAAAAAAAAAAAAATGACCATCAAGCCACGCCCACAAAATAAGCCACACCCACAGAATCGGTAGTAAAAAAAATTTAGAACCCACCCCTGTTACATTCCCACAAACGGTCCAAGTCCAATCCCTCTTGAATTCCATTGACTTTTGTTTAGTGCCAATTTACTGGTGACCATTAGTTGACTAGATTCTTGTGTACAGGCAATAAATCTTCATCACTGGAATTTCACCTATGGTCCTGTTCCTTCACACCTGACAATTGGCTCATTTTGTAGCAAATTTCAGGAGTGCAATTCTGAATCATGCAAAACTCTTCAGGGAGATGGATATGGCATTGATTCATCCCAAGACTCCCTGCTGTCTTTGGCAACTTGGAAATTACACAAAAGCAGACAGACAGACAACAGACCTCTTCCTGGTCTCACCTCTTCCATTCATGTCACCAGGTCACCAAACTCTTATCGTTTCCTGCAAAATGAAGAGATTGACTTGGGTCTATCTCAAGGGCGACCACTGTATGTTAGGTTGCATTAAATATTGGAAATGTTTAGCTCCAGGCTCTTAGCAAACCCTTAGTTTTCCAGGCAGCAACCCTGTCTCTATGTTCCCAATTTCTGGAGGAAAAATGCTTTGGGGGCCTACAAAAGAACATGAGGTTCTTCTCTCCCGATTTGCAGGCCTGCAAGAGGAGGCCCTTCATGGTTAAAGCCTTTCCACACCCATAGAAATTCCACCTTAATGTTTCAGTAGCTTCCTCTCCAGAGCCTCTTCCCAAAACAGAGTCCACCCTCAAGTGGAAATCTGGAGAGGTTGCCCTTCCTTCCTTCCTTCCTTCCTGCACTGCAATCCCATTGCAAGTTGGTGAGCTTCAATTTTTCTCTTGTAGGGCGAAAATTACAGTGGAATTCGGTGTTCTCCATGGGGCTGTTTGCTTGGTGCTTCGCTGGCTTTTGGTCCGCCATGCCCCTTTTGGGATGGGGGGCATATGATTATGAGCCTCTGAGGACCTGTTGCACTTTGGACTATACCAAAGGAGACAGGTAAGTATTTCTGAGGCCTAATTATGGGTCCAGGCCTCTTTGGGAAGGGAGCAGTGGTGGGATTCAAATTTTTCTACTACTGGTTCTGTGGGCATGGTTCGGTGGGCGTGGCTTGGTGGGGCAGCAACTTGCTGTGAGTGTCATTGAGTTGGCCATGCCCACTCAGTCACATGACCCGCTGCTCCACTGCGACGCCATCCCTCCAGCGCAGCAGGCAGTTTTCCTAGCCGAGTCTGGCAATTTGGTGCATCCGCGCACACACACCGGCAGGCAATGGGGTGCGTGTGCACCGCCAGTGAGAAGAACAGGGCGGCGACAGCGGTGACAGGACTTCACTGATGCTGCATTCTTTCACTTTACCATTCACAGCAGTAACTGCGATAGAAATGTTGGGGTCTTAGTAGTGATCACTTGAATAGGAGCCAGCCGTGTGCTGCAGCTGCCAAAAAAGCCAGTGCAGTTAGGCTGCATTAATAGAGAGACAGAATCAACATCACATGAACACCAATTTATAATGCCTTTGTAAAACCATACTTGGCTTTACAAAGCATCCGGTTTTGGTCACCATAATATAAAAAAAGATGTTGAGACTCTAGATTGAGTGCAGAGAAGAGCAGCAAAGATGATTAGGGGACTGGAGACTAAAACATATGAAGAACGGTTGCAGGAACTGGTCTAGTTTAATGAAAAGAAGGACTAGGGGAGACCTGATAGCAGTGTTCCAATATCTCAGGGGCTGCCACAAAGAAGAGGCAGTCAAGCTATTCTCCAAAGCACCTGAGGGCAAGACAAGAAGCAACGGGTGGAATCGAACCAAGGAGAGATCCAACCTAGAAATAAGGAGAAATTTTCTGGCAGTGAGAACAGTCAGTGGAACAGAAGTTGCCTCCAGAAGTGGTGGGTGCTCCAACACTGGAGGTTTTTAAGAAGACACTGGACAACCATTTGTCTGAAATGATATCAGGTCTCCTGCTTGAGCAGGGGGATAGACTAGAAGACCTCCAAGAGCCCTTCCAACTCTATTATTCTGTTATTCTCTTGAAAGAGAATTTGTCTCTTTGTCTTCACCTAATAATAATAATAATAATAATAATAATAATAATAATAATAATAATAGCGGAACACTCAGTGTCTCCGACTTTATTCTGAAAACAGACCTCAGCGCCTACTGTAAAACGCCGCGAAGCTACTATTAAACTGGGTTTGATCCTACTGTTGTGTGAGTGCCCGGTGGAGCCGTGGTGTTACCAGAGGGGCTGAGAACATGGTCCAATCATCATCCGTCCCAACTTGAGCCATCCCTGCAACCACTCCTCCTCTAGATGCAGAAACATCAAGACCTTGAATGAAGGGAAGAATGCTATTATTTCTAACTACATTCACTCTCCTAAATCCACCCTCCTACTTTCCCAGGCACATGGAGTTGACAGCGTGGAAGCTTCTGGTGCTAATATGGCTTCCAAAGCTGACATAGTATCTATAAAATTATACTCACGATCTAAAATTTCCAATCACCACCATTTAACAAAAATATATCTTTGTGATCTACAGAATTAATAGTCCTAAGAAGTCCATTGAATACTCATAATTCCCTTAAGGGTAGGTGCTTCCTCTATCCTCTTCCTCTGACAGTTTAAATTTATAATCCACGTAATTTTATCCACACTCCTGTTGTTATAATCCTCAGTCTCCGGGTTAACTTTGACCATTGAAGTTGTCCAGACAGGCAAAATCAGGTGGGAATAATGTAGCCCTGTTTCCCCAGTCCGTTTTGCAGTGACATCACTACCGGAAGTCTGCTTTGTTATGCCCTTCAGGTTGCAGCCATGATGATGATGATGATATAGAAAGGGCTGCACTTGAAGCTACTATTAATGTATAATAAACACTCTTAATTTTAGTGGGAGAACTTGGTACGAAAGTCCTGTTGTAAAAAATGCAGTTTAAAATGCCTTAGGTTGGCCACTTTTATTCCTGTGGCCTATTTGCCCACAGTAGATGGCACCAAGGAGATTCAAAAATATTCAATCCTCTGCTGCCATCTAGTGACTGTCAAGATTTTTCTTCCACCCAGACATGTTAGGCAAAAATAAAATAAAAACCAAGCAAAGCAATCCAGTAGCTATTACACAAATTATTTCAGAGGGAAAATTCTGCTCAGATATCAGGAGCAAAGTGAGGTAACATGTTTTATTGGATGTTTCAAAAATAAGAGCAGGACTGGATAAGAGTTGGCTGACAGGAATACCTTTTCTATTTCTAAATACCCAAGACTCCCTTTTTCCCAAAGAGCCCCAAATTATGCCATAGAAATTGGTATAGGAGAAGGACAAGCAGAGACTGGAGGAAGAGTTAAGAGAGTAATCAGCCTGGAATCATTACATTCCAGTGGTGGGTTCCTCCCGGTTCGGCCCAGTTCTCCCGAGGTAGCCGATATGACATCACTGAACTGGTTCTGCCCACCCTACACATATACATTTACTGCTTCCTCCTATCCCCCCCCCCCCATATTTTTTTTATTCTTCGGTACCCAAAATCTTCATCACAAATGAATAAGAACTGTTTAAAAGCCGCCGTTACAGGTGTGCGCCACAGCTGATCAGTGTTAAAGAAAAGACCACAGCTGATCATGTTAAAAGAAAACGTAGACCGGTGCCTGCAAAAAATAAATGGTAGATCGGTACAGCTCTGCAAGCAGTTAAAAGCCTGGTAGATCAGTACCTCTGCTAAATCCTAAAGAATTGTCACATGAGCCTTGGTACTACAGTGGTTTAAAGCACCCTGTTATTAACGTATCTGGATCCGTTCCAGTCGGGCTTCAGGCCCGGGTACAGCACGGAAACGGCATTGGTCGCGTTGGTTGATGATCTCTGGAGGGCTCGGGACAGGGGGTGCTCCTCTGTCCTGGTCCTGTTAGATCTCTCAGCGGCTTTTGATACCATCGACCATGGTATCATGCTGCACCGGTTGGAAGAGTTGGGGGTGGGAGGCACTGTGTTGCGGTGGTTCTCCTCCTTTCTCTCTGACCAGTCGCAGTCTGTGTTGACAGGGGGACAGAGGTCGACCCCGAGGCCCCTCATATGTGGGGTGCTGCAAGGGTCGGTCCTCTCGCCTCTCCTGTTCAACATTTATGTGAAGCCGCTGGGCGAGATCATCCGTGGTTTCGGGGTGGAGTACCATCAGTACGCTGACGACACCCAGCTGTACATCTCCACCCCGGATCACCCCAACGATGCCCTTGAAGTGATGTCCCGGTGCCTGGAGGCCGTACGGATCTGGATGGGGAGGAACAGGCTCAGGCTCAACCCATCCAAGACCGAGTGGCTGTGGTTTCCGACGTCCCGATATAGGCAGTTGACGCCATCACTGACTATTGGGGGCGAATCATTGGCCCCCACGGAGAGGGCTCGCAACTTGGGCGTCCTCCTGGATTCACGGCTGTCTTTAGAAGAGCACTTGACGGCCGTGACCGGGAGGATTTTTCATCAGGTTCGCCTGATTCGCCAGTTGCGTCCCTTTCTGGATCGGGACTCGTTACGCACGGTCACTCATGCCCTCGTCACCTCCCGCCTGGACTATTGTAATGCTCTCTACATGGGGCTCCCTTGAGGAGCACCCGGAGGCTCCAACTGGTGCAGAGTGCGGCCGCGCGGGTGGTAATGGGAGCGACGTGGCGCTCCCATGTGACACCTCTCCTGCGCGAGCTGCACTGGCTCCCGGTGGTCTTCCGGGTGCGCTTCAAGGTTTTGGTTACCACCTTTAAAGCGCTCCATGGCTTAGGACCTGGTTATCTACGGGACCGCCTACTACCACCAATAGCCTCCCACCGGCCAGTACGCTCTCATAGAGAGGGACTCCTCCGGTGCCGTCAGCCAAACAATGTCGGCTGGCGACCCCTAGGGGGAGAGCCTTCTCTGTGGGGGCACCTACCGTCTGGAATGAGCTCCCCCTGGAGATACGGAGGATCCCTGATCTGCGCACCTTCCGCCGCGCTGTGAAGACCTTTTTATTCCAGCAGGCGGGCTTGGCCTAATCTCTTCCCTTTTAAATATGTAAATTTTAATCTGTTTTTAAATTATTGGGGTGTTTTAATCTGTCTGGGCCAAAATAATTTAATTTGATTTTATCTGGTTTTTAAATTTTTTATGTCTATGTTATTTTATTGTTTGGCTGTTCACCGCCCTGAGTCCTTCGGGAGTAGGGCGGTATACAAATCGAATAAATAAATAAATAAATAAATAAATTAACACAGCTGCCTGCAATTTACTGCTGGTTCGAATCTCTCCAAGGCTCAAGGTTGACTCAGCCTTCCATCCTTTCTAAGGTAGGTGAAATGAGGACCCAGTTTGTGTGGGGCAATAAGCTGACTTTGTATAAATATACAAAAGTATGAAGGCTATTGCTGAACGCACTGTAAGCCGCCCTGAGTCTCCGGAAGGGCGGCATATAAATCAAATTTTTAAAAAAAAAAAAAAATGACCATCAAGCCACGCCCACAAAATAAGCCACACCCACAGAATCGGTAGTAAAAAAAATTTAGAACCCACCCCTGTTACATTCCCACAAACGGTCCAAGTCCAATCCCTCTTGAATTCCATTGACTTTTGTTTAGTGCCAATTTACTGGTGACCATTAGTTGACTAGATTCTTGTGTACAGGCAATAAATCTTCATCACTGGAATTTCACCTATGGTCCTGTTCCTTCACACCTGACAATTGGCTCATTTTGTAGCAAATTTCAGGAGTGCAATTCTGAATCATGCAAAACTCTTCAGGAGATGGATATGGCATTGATTCATCCCAAGACTCCCTGCTGTCTTTGGCAACTTGGAAATTACACAAAAGCAGACAGACAGACAACAGACCTCTTCCTGGTCTCACCTCTTCCATTCATGTCACCAGGTCACCAAACTCTTATCGTTTCCTGCAAAATGAAGAGATTGACTTGGGTCTATCTCAAGGGCGACCACTGTATGTTAGGTTGCATTAAATATTGGAAATGTTTAGCTCCAGGCTCTTAGCAAACCCTTAGTTTTCCAGGCAGCAACCCTGTCTCTATGTTCCCAATTTCTGGAGGAAAAATGCTTTGGGGGCCTACAAAAGAACATGAGGTTCTTCTCTCCCGATTTGCAGGCCTGCAAGAGGAGGCCCTTCATGGTTAAAGCCTTTCCACACCCATAGAAATTCCACCTTAATGTTTCAGTAGCTTCCTCTCCAGAGCCTCTTCCCAAAACAGAGTCCACCCTCAAGTGGAAATCTGGAGAGGTTGCCCTTCCTTCCTTCCTTCCTTCCTGCACTGCAATCCCATTGCAAGTTGGTGAGCTTCAATTTTTCTCTTGTAGGGCGAAAATTACAGTGGAATTCGGTGTTCTCCATGGGGCTGTTTGCTTGGTGCTTCGCTGGCTTTTGGTCCGCCATGCCCCTTTTGGGATGGGGGGCATATGATTATGAGCCTCTGAGGACCTGTTGCACTTTGGACTATACCAAAGGAGACAGGTAAGTATTTCTGAGGCCTAATTATGGGTCCAGGCCTCTTTGGGAAGGGAGCAGTGGTGGGATTCAAATTTTTCTACTACTGGTTCTGTGGGCATGGTTCGGTGGGCGTGGCTTGGTGGGGCAGCAACTTGCTGTGAGTGTCATTGAGTTGGCCATGCCCACTCAGTCACATGACCCGCTGCTCCACTGCGACGCCATCCCTCCAGCGCAGCAGGCAGTTTTCCTAGCCGAGTCTGGCAATTTGGTGCATCCGCGCACACACACCGGCAGGCAATGGGGTGCGTGTGCACCGCCAGTGAGAAGAACAGGGCGGCGACAGCGGTGACAGGACTTCACTGATGCTGCATTCTTTCACTTTACCATTCACAGCAGTAACTGCGATAGAAATGTTGGGGTCTTAGTAGTGATCACTTGAATAGGAGCCAGCCGTGTGCTGCAGCTGCCAAAAAAGCCAGTGCAGTTAGGCTGCATTAATAGAGAGACAGAATCAACATCACATGAACACCAATTTATAATGCCTTTGTAAAACCATACTTGGCTTTACAAAGCATCCGGTTTGGTCACCATAATATAAAAAAAGATGTTGAGACTCTAGATTGAGTGCAGAGAAGAGCAGCAAAGATGATTAGGGGACTGGAGACTAAAACATATGAAGAACGGTTGCAGGAACTGGTCTAGTTTAATGAAAAGAAGGACTAGGGGAGACCTGATAGCAGTGTTCCAATATCTCAGGGGCTGCCACAAAGAAGAGGCAGTCAAGCTATTCTCCAAAGCACCTGAGGGCAAGACAAGAAGCAACGGGTGGAATCGAACCAAGGAGAGATCCAACCTAGAAATAAGGAGAAATTTTCTGGCAGTGAGAACAGTCAGTGGAACAGAAGTTGCCTCCAGAAGTGGTGGGTGCTCCAACACTGGAGGTTTTTAAGAAGACACTGGACAACCATTTGTCTGAAATGATATCAGGTCTCCTGCTTGAGCAGGGGGATAGACTAGAAGACCTCCAAGAGCCCTTCCAACTCTATTTTCTGTTATTCTCTTGAAAGAGAATTTGTCTCTTTGTCTTCACCTAATAATAATAATAATAATAATAATAATAATAATAATAATAATAATAATTTTATTTATATACTGCCCATTCTCCCGAACGACTCAGGGTGGTGTACAGCCAAAATTAAAATACAAATACACAAATATACAATAGCTAGTTAAAATTAATTAAAATCATTAAATAGTTTTGGCCGAATTTTAAAACCCAAAATTAAAACCCAATTTAAAATCAATCAATTTGATAGTCCCTCCTGTCGGAACAGTAGGGTCTTGAGGGCGCAGCGAAAAACCCGGAGGTCAGAAATGTTACGAATATCCGGGGGCAATTCATTCCAGAGGGCAGGAGCTCCCACAGAGAAGGCTCTCCTCCTGGGTGTCGCCAGCTGACATAACTTGGCCGACAGCACCCTGAGGAGACCCTCTCTGTGGGAGCGGACTGGTCAGTGGGAGGCTATTGGTGGCAGAAGGCGGTCCTGTAAATATCCTGGTCCTATGCCATGGAGCGCTTTAAAGGTGGTGACCAACACCTTGAATTGCACCCGGAAGACCACTGGGAGCAAGTGCAGCTTGCGCAGGAGGGGTGTCACGTGGGCACAAAGGGTTGCACCCATAACCACCCGCGTGGCCGCATTCTGGACCAGTTGGAGCCTCCGAGTGCTCTTCAAGGGGAGCCCCATGTAGAGAGCGTTACAATAGTCCAGATGGGAGGTGACGAGGGCATGAGTGACCGTGCGCAAGGCGTCCCAGTCCAGAAAGGGCTGCAACTGGCGGATCAGGCGAACCTGATAAAAAGCCCCCCTGGCCAGAGCCGTCATATGCTCTTCTAAAGACAGCCGTGCATCCAGGAGGACACCCAGTTGCGAGCCCTCTCTGTGGGGGGCAGAGATTCACCCCCAATAGTCAGCGATGGCACCAGCTGACTATACCAGGACGCCAGGAACCACAGTCACTCGGTCTTGGAAGGGTTGAGCTTGAGCCTATTTCTCCCCATCCAGACCCGCACGGCCTCCAGGCAGCGGGACATCACATCAAGGGCATCGTTGGGGTGGTTTGGGGTGGAGATGTACAGCTGGGTGTCATCAGCGTACTGGTGGACTCTCACCCCAAAACCACGGATGATCTTACCCAGCGGCTTCACATAAATGTTGAACAGAAGGGGCGAGAGGACCAACCCAATGGCCATGGTAGATGGGAAAAAAACCCCTCTTTGCAATCAACTGATATGGATCTTAAAAGCCAACATGGCAAGCGATCTGGGTAACGTAACTTGAAGGACTAAGCATCAGTTTATCATCCTAGGTGTCTGGATAAGAACTCAATAGTTTGGGGAGCTTTTCCTGCATATAAAAGACAAACACAATGAAGTAGATCAGTGATTCTCAACCTTTTTTTCACCATGGACCCTCAAGGCTTAAGATTTAAATCATAACGTTTCTTCAAGCCTGTGACGACATCGTGCGCACACACCCAATCGCAGACCACAGGTTGAGAACCATTGAATCAGATCATCATCAATCAGGGTTTGGCACCATATAAGGAAACTTTGCACCAAGTCATTTGATGCAGCTTTCAGCCTTCAGCGTCAGGTGGAGGTTTTACTCTTTCGGTATCTGTTTTACATGTTCTGATTCTTGACTACATCAGGATTCATTCCAAAGAATCATTTGCCATTCATTGTTTTTCACCCCCCCAGAAATTACATCACGTTTCTTATTCCTCTGGTGCTGTTCAATTTTGTGACCCCGATTTTCATCATATTAATGTCCTATCAATCCATTGATAACAAATTCAGGAAAACAGGACAGCTGAAGGTAAGAAAACATTGCAACATAGAATAGTTTCCAGCAACGCAAAGCTAGACCTTGTTTGACTTGAGTTTTCTGATTTTCATAGCGTTGATACAGTGTCTATCCTGTACAGAGTGGTGTTTTCAGTTACACCAAGCTTCAGGAGACGGGATGCGACCCGTTTCATCCATATGGAGAAGTGTCAGATGTAGGTAGCTGGGTCCTATTCTACAGGATGCCTATGGAGATTCTCCGTCATCCAGGTGATGGTTGTGCCAAAGGCGCTTTTCCAATAGACAACTGGACTTTCCTGGGTTTGTTTTTCCTTGAAAACATTTTGCTTCTCATTCAGAGAACTGAAGAAGCTCCTTGAATGAAAAGCAAAACATTTTCAAGGGGGAAAAAAACGAAGAAAATCCAGTTGTCTTTTGGAAAAGTCACCTTTGGGATATTCTGTAGGATCCCAACGGAGGAACTGAGCTGGCAGACCACTGGACCGGGCACTGAACTTTAAAGGAGCATTTGTGTTAAATTAACTTTAGGAGCTATTGAGGGCCTGCTACTGAGCAGTGCTGAAATGAGCATAAAAGTGGGGTTTTGATCATCAGGAACTTTGCTCTCCAGATATGATGATATGGATTTCTATAGCCCAGTAGCAGGGCCTCTATCAGCAGGTTAGATGAGAATTGAAGAGACACCCATCTGTGTTGGAAAGCCCTGGGAAGGGAGACTCATGCATCCCATCTTAGCGTCTTAGCAACGGAGGTCTTTTAAATATATTGGTGGAAAAGGGTGAGTCCATGGCACAAGTTAATGGAGGAAGCCAGGATGTGTAGACCGAGACTTTTGGTTTTGGGAAAGTGTTTTATGACTTACATTACGAACCATTTATGGACAACATGATAGAGGAAGCCGTAAGTCAGTTTGAAGGTCTGGAGAACTTCAGTTTACCTATCCCTACGGTGGGAGATTAGATACAGCCCGCCCACTGCAATGTCCCTCACCATACACATATCATTGACTTTCTCCAGGGGAAAAGCTCTGAGAAGCCCAGAGTGAAGAGTGTCCAACCCCTCAATATAAGAAATTTCAAAGAATGGCATCCATAAGGAAGAATTAGGACTTTTCTGAACTCTTCAGAATTGGATACGCTTGGAGTGACAATCCATCCAGAACCCCAATTTGCTTTTTTAATATCTGACTTTATTTTTTTTTTATGTTGATAGACAGTTGATAGGGTGCTCTAATCTTTGTTCTTCTTTTCCCAGTTTAATACTGGTTTGCCGGTGAAATCTTTGGTCCTTTGCTGGGGTCCATACTCCCTTTTGAGTATCTATGCTGCAGTGGAAAACGTGGCACTCGTCTCACCCAAAATCTTAATGGTAAGTAGGAAATGATATGAGGTCCTACCGCACTGAAATTTCTCCTGAAGGTGAAAGAAAAAGCCTGTTCCCTCTAAAACGTGGCCCTTTTACAGTTGCCTTCAAATTCACTTTGTTGATGTGATTCGGGTTTTCCATTTTTGGTCTGAGACAGCCCAGGGTGTCCCAGATGTTTGTTTTTTTTATTTCTATCATTACCTGCTTCTCCATCACTTTATAGCAACCCTGACAGTGAGAACAATCAACCCATGGAACAGAAGTTGCCTTCAGAAGTTGTGGGAGCTTCATCACTGGAGGCTTTCAAGGGGAGAGTGGACTGCCATTTGTCCAGGATGGTGTAGGGTCTCCTGCTTGGGTGGGGGGTTGGACCAGATGACCTACAAGGTCCCTTCCAACTCTGTTAATCTATATGAATCTATATGAACCCATCAGCCCACCTTGGAAATGTCTTTTTCTGAGGTGTTATTGAAGGGTTAGTAGTCAAAGGGGCCGAAGGAGGGCGACCAGATCTGCAGTTTTAATATGAAATGAGGATGAAGAAGATGATCATGATAATGGTCATGGTGATGATGATGATGATGATGGTGTGGCTTTTTCACAGATTCCTGCTCTTATCGCCAAGACTTCACCAACCATGAATGCCTTCATTTACGCCTTGGGGAATGAGAACTACCGAGGAGGATTGTGGCAGTTTCTCACAGGAGAAAAAATGGAGAAACCCAAAATTGATGACAAAATGAATTAATTCACATTCTGGACATGAGGTGGGGTGGGGGAGGGGTCGCATGTGGCGAAGAGAGCGGAATGGGTACATTGCCCAAGGAGAGCCAGAATTGGTTCCCTGCTGCTCCCTTCTGGGTGCCCAACATGGGTTTCTTGCTTCATTTAGAACCCCCAAAACAGGTAGTCCTCGACATATGGCCACAATTGAGTCCAAAATATCTGCTGCTTAAATGAGACCTTTGTTAAGTGAATTCTGCTCCATTTTACGACCTTTCTTACCACAGTTGTGAAGTGAATCACTGCATTTGTTAAGTTAGCAGCGTTGTCGTTTAGAGAGTCTGGCTTCCCCATTGACTTTGCTTGTCAGAAGGTCCCGAAAGGGGCTTATGTGACCCTGTGCAGTGGTCGTAAGTCTGACAAATGGTCATAAATCACTGTTTAGTGCTGTTGGAACTTTGAATGGTCACTAAGTGAACTGTTATATAGCTGTAACTGGACACCAAAGTAGGATCCAGGCCACCAATGTTTTCCCCCGTCGTCTGCCACATTGTTCAAAGAATCGCTTCGTGCAGATGTTCTTCCCAGCCTTTGTCCCTCCGCCTGTATGTCCCCCCCCCTCCTCAGCTCCCTTTCCGTCCATCTGTCACTGTGAATAAACGGCCACAGGAAGGACAACGGTCTGGCTGCCTCCTTTCCACAGAGGACAAGGCTCCCTTCAGAAACAGGGCGGGGAAATGACCGGAATGCAAGGAAGGGAGACAGCTGAGCAGGCTGGATTTCCCCCGTCTGCTTTTGCTAGGTTACCCGGAGATTAAAGTAGGCTGGGCTAGTGCTAACGCAGATGCTTGGCCAGCCTGTGCCATTTCTACCCAATGGATGCAGGCCTGTAAAACCCAGGCAATCCGTCACCCCTGTATAGAAAAGACGTTGTGACTCTGGAAAGAGTGCAGAGAAGAACAACAAGGGGCCAGAAGCTAAACAATACGATGAATTATTGAAGGAACTAGATAGGTCTAGTCTAACAAAGAGAAGGACTAGGGGTGACATGATAGGGGTGTTCAAATATTTGAGGGGTTGCCATATTTGAGGGGGTCAGCCTATTCTCCAAAGGACCAGAAGGCAGGACAAGAAACAATGGATGGAAACTATCCAAGGAGAGAAGCAACCTGGAACTGAGGAGAAACTTCCTAACAGTGAGGAGAATTAACTGGTGGAACGGAAGTCGCCTCCAGAAGTTGTGGGTGCTCCATCACTGGAGGCTTTTAAGAAGATGTTGGACAGCCACTTGCCTGAAATGCTGTCGGGTCTCCTGCTTGAGCAGGAGGCTGGACTAGAAGACCTCCGATGTCCCTTCCAGCTCTGTTCTCGTTCTGGCTGAGAGTGGCTGGTTGGAGCTGAGCATTTACTGACCGAATGCCCTTGTCTCCGTTAATTAACACAGCACAGATTCAGCGTTACGTAAAATGAAATGAAACAAAACAAAAGCCGTTTCTCCCACACAGCTTCCTCTGTTCTGAGCTGTGGAGAAAAGGACTGGAAACCCCCCAGCCAGCCATTCAGTCGGCCCGAAGGATTGCTCCCAGAGAGCCGCCTATTAAGGGATGAGCTGTTCTCTTGTTTCCTGCATCCATTCTGGCTCCTTTAATCCTCTTACGGCTCTGAACTGACGTAGCCTCAAAGTCTCAGCTACTACAAAGCAGGGAAATTTCTTTCCATCCATAACTTTTGGGGGGGAGGATATTTGAGGCCTCTGTTCTTCCTATTCTGGGCACTTTGGGTAGACGGGCATTTTTAGCCATATACACAATAGGAAGGGAGGAAACAGGTGGCTAATTTAAACTTAATTTTATAAATTTTGAGTCAGCCCCAGGGAACAGAACTGAACTGCAGACTCAACAACTGACCTCAATGATCCCTCACGGCTGATCCTGCACACAGTAGACACAATTGCAGGCTGGATGTCCCGTCTGCTCTTAGACATTAAGCCCAACATCTGGAAGCCACCAGAGAGGGAAGCCATCAGAATGGCATCTACTATGACCAAATAGGTTTCTTGCCCAAAACATGTGCATTCCATTGGCAGAACACATCTGGGGCTTTTTTTATTGTGGAGTGACACAGTCAGGCTATTCCAAGGGGAAAGAGGGGAAAGGGAGAGTGAGAGGAGAAGGAGGAGGGAGGAAGACAGAAAGAAAGATGAAGAGATAAAAAAGGGAGAAAAAGAGAGAGGAAAGAAAGAGGGAGGGAGAATGGGTCTTATCTTTTATCCTACACAATCTGAGACATTTCTGTTTTGAGCACCATAACTAAATTTGTACACCAAAAACAATTCAATCTTTGCTGCCAATTAGTCTTTGAAAATCAACTTTGAACAGAGAGACAGAGAAGAGAGACAAGACATGAGAGGAGAGGAAAGGAATGTTAGGAACATCTGGAAAAAGAATGAAAAACTATTTCTAAGATGCTTCATTGATTAGATTATCCTAGTAGTCAATAAAGGATGTAAACCAGGGGTGAAATCTAAAATTTTTTGCTACTGGTTCTGTGGGTGTGGCTTAATTAGTGGGCGGGGCTTGGTGGTAAGGTGACTGGGTGGGTAAGGTGGGCGTGGCCAAGTCAATGTCACTTCTTTGCCCTTTTTTAACTTACAAAACACAACACAACACAACTGGCTCACCCACAATGTAAACGCAGCTGTGCTAGACCCAAAATGGCCCCTGCAACAAGCGGGAACCTCACACAGCCACAAAAAGCCCCCCCAAAAACAACTTTCACACTTTTTTTTTGAGATTTTGTGTGTTTGTGTAGTTAGAGTGAAACACTACAGAAACACACTAAATCTCAGAAAGCTGCACAAATATTATTTTATTTTATTTTATTTTTATATAAAAGCAGCTAAATTTAAAACTTCCTAAACTTTAAACAGCTAGATCTAAAAAAAGAACAACTAAAAAAAAACCCCAATTAACTATTTTTTTAAAGCTCCCAAAGAGGGAAAAAACTTACCCAATAGGACAGGGGTCTCCAACCTTGGCAACTTTAAGACTTGTGGACTTCAACTCCCAGAATTCCTCAGCCAGGAATTCTGGGAGTTGAAGTCCACAAGTCTTAAAGATGCCAAGGTTGGAGACCCCTGCAATAGAAAGTACAAGGCAGGCAATAAGGCAGGCAGGCAGATAGAGATGCTCACCAATGAGCTTGATTTCAGGCAGGGAAATTCAGTTGCTTGCTGATGCAATAGATTGCAGGGATTACAGCAAGGCGTTGCGACCAGCAGCTAAGGTAAGCAAACTACTGGTTGCTGCTGGTTAACAGGCAACTCAGCTGGGATCATCAGAGCTTGGCTTGTCAGAGCCATTTAAAAGAAAAAAAAAGGCTCTGATGATCACGCAGGGGGCAGGGATTTTTGCTACCAGTTCTCCGAACTGCCCGCCGCCATCGCTACCTACTCACCCAAGCCGGTCCGAACCGGGAGCATTTCACCCCTGATGTAAACCATCCTGGCTCACCCCTCTTCCTTCTGTGACACATAGAGGCAAACTGGATAGAGGATCATCCTGAAAAAGGCCCTGAGCAGGTTACCAGGTTTGTGAAAGGCAAAAGGCTTCTTGAGAATCCATCTTGAAGCTTGCCCTGTTTGTTTCAGACTCAGTTCTGTCTGGAAATGGGATTGGATCACCTTTATGAGTCTAGCGGGTGGGCAACTCACAGTGGCCTTTTTCTTAGTTAGCTTGCCCTGGATTTCGGCCAACAGTTGGGTTGGCTTTGCTACCTTCAAAACTCAGAATGGAGTTTTGCCACAATTGGCTTCAAACATTAGAAAGGACAGTCTGTGGATTTGGGGTTACCCACCTCGTGAAGGAACTCTACATTTAGAAAGCGGGACGAACTCTCATAAACCTATTACGCCTCTATAAAACCATGCTGACACATCATGGTTTACATAAATCCAACAAAAGGATATGCACAAAAAACATGAACCTAGGACTTCACATACAAGATGGCCAATATGTTCATTATCCAAATGTTGCTGAAAATACGCATGACTCTTCTTTTCTAAGCAATCTGTGAAATACTTGCGTTCTCAGTTCTCAGTCTTCCACTGATAACAGAAAATATGACCTCCTGTAAGTACAATTCAGTGACACTTATTCTTTCAGGGGGAAACAATGTCATTTTACTTTGCCCTGCATTGATGAATGCAGCAATGAAATGGTGTCTGTCATATCGAGGGAGCATGAATTGTGAGTGTGAAAAAGATAATTTAGCCTATTAATCACAGGAATAAGTACATCTGATGGTGATGATTTTGTAACCAATGCAAATTTCTTTTCACTTAAATCATCAGTGGGAAACTTTTAACCTGGAATGTAAAAGCATTCAAATCAATCCAAGTGAATATTTTCTTAATTGGCACATAATAAATATCCTAAGAGTTTTTTATATAGATATACAGTTTCATCAAAAATATCTTAGTGTCTGAAACACTATCAAGATGCTTTACATTTTGAAAAATATAATATCTGAGAATAATTGTTTTGTAATTCATTGCCCATCAAAACCTGTTTTAGGCTGGCCGCCGCTAGACGTTCCTTTGGGATCGTCAGCTTCCTTTGCCTGTCAGAGCCGCCTTCACAGCGGAATGGCGGCTCGAAAAAACTCTGTTTCCATGAGGAAACGGAGATAGAGCCGGCAGGGGTGGGTAGAACTCTCTGCAGAGTCCCAAAAGTTTTTTTTTTTACTTTTGGGACGGAGCGGATGAGATGCCCCATATCCCCAGCCGCTGCTCCGGGCTTTGGGAGACCTCTGCTAATGCAGAGCCAGGCGTGAAGAGCAAGCCTGCGAATTTAACAGATTACTCAAAGAAAATGTGAGCTGGACCTGTAATTTTGAAACGCAAGTATTTTACTTATCTTCTAAAAAAATTATTTAAGAGAAAAGAGGAAAGGAAAGGGGGAGAAAAAAAGCCTTTTAAAATGGCGTCTGCCGCGGCTGGAGGAGAGGCTGAAAGGAAAAGTCCTTCCGTTTTCTATTAATACAATGTAGCGGGATAAACACCACTGGCTACATTTGTAGACAAAACTTCGCTCCTGTGTCTTTTTCTCTCTTTTTTTTTCCCTGGAGACTTGACATTGTTATTGATTGGAAAGAAGTCCTTTTTCTTGTTTTTTTTTTTTTTTCTTTTAACAAAGCTTGCCTGGGCGGAAATATGGCACTGAAACTTATAAAGTCAAACAAACAAGTAGTGGGGGGGGATTCCCCCACTAACGACTTAAAAGAACAAGTTTTAACTCTTCAATCTCAGAAACCTGATTTTAATATAATAGAATTTCTTTTAGAGGAGATTGTAAGAAGGGATGAGATTGTGAATCAGCATCTTGAAAAATTTAAGCAGGAAATTAAAGAATTGGTGAAATCTAAGTTTGATTTTTTGGAGCAAAAAATTTTAAAAGTGGCTAATGGTTTGTCAGAATTTATGATACAGTTGGCTACAAATACTAATTTACTAGAGTCTAAAATGGAAGAAATTCAAGATAAATTGGACAATAGAACTCAAAAAATTGAAAATGATTTGATAAACACTCAGGATAATAGCCCAGAAGAAAAACCTAAAATGGAGGCTGATCAAAAGTCTGGTAATGCAGAAAATCTGCAACAGAGGATTGAAAGAGAGG